ACTGTATAACTGTAATAATTCAACAGTAAACCTAAAAATTTACAGCCAATTTTGAAAGAGATGCATCTTAGCTCTGGAAATTGTTATTTCAATGCTGTTGTAATGAAATGCTTCTTCTAAGTATATGGTTATTAAATAAATAATTAAAAAAAAGATCATAATAAAAGTCCAGGGGTCAATAGTAAAACCTGTGCTAAAGAAGTAAAGCTGAAGCAGAAAGTTCCAGGATGAACAAGGGCTAAACCAGTGCCAATGCAGTGCTTGGAGGCTCTGTGTAAAGGAACATAGCGTTAGAGGACCAGGGATGAAAGAACTTGGTGTCTCAGGAAACACGCTGGCCCAACTTCAAGCTTATCACTTTCTCTGGCCATCAATGACTGGATAAAGCCTAGAATTCTGGAACTGGCTTCTTTAGCAATGATCAGGTACCTCTAATACAGGTGACATTTAATTTATAGATCAAACATGAAAATCAAGCATGTTTTACAGGGATAGCAGCATGTGGAGAATGTCCTCAGCTCACGCTTTCTGGTCCGATCTACCTAGATGATTCTTTAATTACTCACAAAATAAACTGCTCCAAAACTCCCATGTCCAATTTCGTGCAAATCGATAAAAAGCTCTTCAGGGTCATCTTTGTAGAACAGATCAGCGACCTCGGGGTCCCTCAGTGCCCCTTTACGCATGGTGACCAGTGTCGCAAGCACTCTGCTTTTTGATAGCCAAGTCCTTTGTCTCTCTCATTGGCAACTGTGTTCGTTTCTATAAATCTTCAGAATCTGTAGAAAAATAAGATTTGCCATTCAATTATTTCTAACTCAATTTTTGGTGATAATACAAACAAATTAATATTTAAGAGTATCTTTATCTTACAAATCAGTATTACAAAGACAATAAATCAGGGGTGAGGCTGGGAAGATGGCTCAGAGGTTAAGAGCACTAGCGGCTCTTGCACAAAGGACCTGGGTTTGGTTTCCAGTACCCACATGGCAGCTAACAACCCTCTGTAATTCTAGTTTCAGGGGATCTGACACCCTCTTCTGGTCTCTGCAGGCATTGTACACACATGGTACATGTAGACAAAAACATTCATATATATAAAATAAAAATAAATTTATAAAACCTTTGGGAGGCAGAGGCAGGTGGATCTCTGTGAGTTCTAGGCCAGCCTGGTCTACATAGCGAGTTCTAGGCCAGCTGGGGCTACAGGGAAACCCTTGTCCAAAAAAAAAACAAAAAAAAAAAAAACCCAAAAAACAAAAAAATCCCTTTAAAAAAGAAATGAAGCAAAGGACCTAAATAGGCCTTTTAGCAAATAAGATACAGAAATGGCTATGAACAAATGTAAGAGACTTGACATCATTAGTTTACTACAGAAACAAAAATTAAAACTACAAACCATTTACTTATTTATTTATATTTATTTTGTGTGTATGAATGTTTTCCTGTATATACGTGCATCTGTGTTGTACAGTGCCTGTGAAAGCCAGAAGAGGGTGTTAGATTCACTGGAACTGGAATTACAGATGGTTGTTAGTTGTCACGTGGGTGCTGGGAACTGAGCCCTGGTCCTCAGTGCGCTTAACCACTGAGCCAGCTTGCGCCCCTGCCAAACCATTTCATTCTCAGTACAATGGCTATACAAACAGATAAAAACTGGGAAAGAGGTGGAGAAACTGGAGCTCTCAGACTCTGCTGCAGAGAGTGAAGAATGGCATCACTGCTCTGGGAAAGAGCATGAGATCATAAAATCTAGTATGTTGAGTTACCATTTGACACAGGAATTTCACTGCTAGTTATGTATCCAGGAGAAATGAAAACATGTATTTACACAGGAAACATATGCATAGGTGCTCACAGAAGCATTATTCCTAATAGCCAGAGGTAGAAATGACCCAAACGCCAGCTAATTGGTGAATGAATATGGTATATCTACATAGTGGAATATCAGTCATAAAGGGAAATGGAGGCAGGAGGATTTGGAATTCAAGTCAATTTTGGCTGCACAGTGAGGCTGAGGGCAGCTTGGGATACATAGCACTCTGTGTCAAAAAGAAAAAAAAAGAGGCTAGCTATTGTATGATTCCACTTACATAAGATTTCTAGAATAGGCAGATCTATTGAGACAGAAGTAGACTGCTTGTCACTCAGGGGAGCCTGGTCAACGAAAAGTAAAGGGCACAAGATTTCCCATCAGGGTGATGAAAATGTCCTAAGGTGACAGAGGGGATGATTCTATAACTCTGTGGTCACACTAAAAACCACTATCACGCCCATTAAATGGGAGAGTATAAAGTATGTATGAAGTATCGGGACTTTGAGACTATTACAGTGCCCTGTGGTCAGAGCCACAGGTTCTTAACACCCAGACTGGACAGGAAAGTCTGCTCTCTGGACTGATATGTGCTATGTTTCTGCAGGGTACAGACGGTGAACAGCTGTTTGCCAACCACAGAAAGAAGCCTCTGTATTCTGGAGATCATGCTAAACGTGCACTTGAAGAAGCAAGCTAGTCCACAGCTCTGCAAAATCCTCTGGATTCAAACCTTACATGAGTAACAGGATATTATTTGGACCTTCTTATGTCTTAATCTACCAATAGTTATATGGGTTTATTTGGTGACAGTTATTTTCTTATACGCTTATTTTTTTGAAAAATATTGAAATGTTTCCTCTCTGCTTTTCATCCTAAATAACCTTTCTAGTACACAGATAATCATTTATTTTGAAGTTCGAACTAATTGTAGCATAGTCTGTGCTTCTTCCTTGACCTTCTAAGCTAACTAAGCTACAAATGCCTATTGGTTATTAGCCAAGAAATCTAACTTTCCCTAAATATGATATTATATAAGTTTAAAAGGTTGTTAGAGAAGTAAAGGTGACAGTGCTGACCAGTGCTTTCCTCTTCTGGCCTGACAGACTTTGGGTGACAACGTACATGGCTAGCACAGGGACGTGAGCAACCTGACCTTCCAATCATTAACTCACTCATTCTTTCATTTGGTACTCACTGATGCTTATGATTTTCATGACAGTGTATTAGGTTGGATGTTGGGGACAGAATGGGACATCAATCCTATCTTAGGGCTTAAAGTCAAATAGAACAGACACTAAATTACGGCACAAAGGATAAAGTGGTTCTGACTCGTTGTTACAAAGAAAGGGGAAATGTCTTTTAATATAAGGATATAGCAGGCTGGTCCACCCTTTTTAGGGACAATGAATGTTGCTCATTTATTATGGATGGGTGGGAGAGTTGGAAGAACAAAATATGAAGCTGGTGTTAGGCCAAGGAAAACCACAAAAGGCCTTTTAAAGCACGGTAAGAAATTTGGACTTTATCCCATGGGTGACAGGGTACCACTGAAGGCTTTAAATAGGAAGAAGATTGCCTTGCCAACACCGCACCTGCCATCCTGGGCAACTTCCCTGCTGATCCACGGCCACTGATAACCAAGCACAAAGCCACAACATCAATACTGTTGGGAAAGTAGCTTACAGCTGGCCACCTTGTTAGTCAGGTAATTGGAAGGACAAATGGAAGCTCACAGTGTTCTGCCTTCCTGGTTTTGTCTAGGAACAGAAAGGAAAAAGCCAGATCAAAGCGAAGACATGTCTGTGGAGGCCCATGTGAGACAGGGAGAGTATGAGATTGCCTTTGAGAGAAATGAAAAGATCTAGGACCTGAATTTTCAATGACTGAAATGCATTTTGAAATTCTGAATATTTGGCTTCAGTGAGAACAGAGCTAAGTCTTACCAATCATTATGTTCGGGAAAGCTGTGTCATGCTATACGCTGAAATGATTTTTTTTTTTTTTTTTGAGACAGGATCTCACTATGTAGCCCTGGCTTGCCTAAGACTTGCTGTGTAAACCAAGCTGGCCTTAACTCACAGAGATCCGCCTGCCTCTGATTTTTTTAAGAATAAATAATTCACTGTAAAAATGTGACCATGAAAACTTCTAAAGCCAGGAGTGGTGGCATGCACCTTTAATCCCAGTGCTCGGGAGGCAGGGATCTCTGTGAGAATGAGGCCAGCGATATACATAGTGAGTCCTAGGTCATCTGGGGCTATAGGGAGACCCTGTCTCAAAAATCCAAAGTACAAAACAAAACAAAAAACAAAAACAAAAGTACAAAAAACATAAAAACTTCCAGAATAAATTATAAGTGAATATTTATTCTGTTTTTGTTTTTGAGACAGGGTCTTTGTAGCCACAGCTGGCCTGGAACTCACTATGCAGCCCAGGCTGGCCTGGATCCACAATCTCATAGATATTTGCCTGCCTCTGAGTGCTGGGATTAAAGGTAAGTTCGACCACACCTGGTATAAGTGAATATTTAATCACTAAGCAATGCACCAGAACCAGAAGCCATAAACCAAATCAAAAAGGTTGACTACATGGAGTTAATAACCTTTTTATTTGAGAGAAATAGAATGAAGGGATTTCTGTTTCTAGTCAAGATAAAGTAACAGGTACTCTAGTTTTTTCTGTCAATAGAAGCCAGCAAAACACTAGATAAAACATGTGGTGCTACGTGAGGACACTGGTTGCTGGCGAAGAGGGAGAAAGGTGTCTGAGACTTGATAAGCAAAGGATGGGAGCCACAACTGTCCTGGCTTCTGGCCCTGGGTTTCCCAGAGGTGGTGCAGTCAGAGGCTGTGGAGCCCCTGGTCAGGGGAGAGTGTGAGGTGACCACTGTGGTTAGGGTTCACAGGGCAGAGATGGGACAGAAGAGGACAGCAGATGATATGGGGATCCACAATGGGTTCCCTGCAGGTCCAAAGTCGTTACTTGACTGTGAGAAAACCCCACTGGCACTGGGATGAGCTTCCTGAAACAAGTGGAGCTCATAGAGCTGTCAGCACTGGTCCTGCAGGCCCAGAGAAGAAACCTTCCAATCCATTGGCATTGCTTTTTGTTTGTTTTATTGTGAGACGGGGGTCTTACTCTGTAGCCCAGGCTGGCCTTGAACTCAAGACAACTGTCTTTTCTCAGGCTTCTGAGTGTCAGGATTATAGGCGTGCTCCACCATGCTTACCTGGCATGGGCTTCTTCAAACTGTGGGGTGCAACCCCATGCTAACTGAATGTGGGGGTTGCAAAAATGTGTCAATAATAAAATATTTCTGAATGTGCGGTGACCAAAAACTTATGATACCAAATGTGCACCAAACCTGAGGTGTTTCTGGCAGCTCTTGTCTGTGTTGCATCACGAGACCTCCTGGCAGCCTCGGTTCTGAACAGAACTGCACATGTTCACCACGAAACACAAATGAGTGCTGTCTGAAACAGCTGGGCCCAGACCCCAGAGCACCTCGGCTACGAAGTGCAGTGGGAATGCAGTTTTCTGCTCCTATAGAAACATATGGTTTAATTATGGATAACAACGACTTTCTGTATTGTCTTAGTAGCATTTCAGAGCATGTAAGTATAAAATTTGTTTCATCTTTTGATTGTATTGTATTAGAAGCATATTCATCTCATTTGCATGAAAAGTTGCTTTTGTCTTAAAAATGGCAAAGTTATGTGCATATCAAATAATTGTAAAGTAAATGTCTCTATGATCTATTATTAGTAGACGTTTGAGTTGTACACTTATATATGTAAAATTTTCATGGAAAAAAAGGGGCAGCAAGAGGAAAATGTTGTAAAATTCTGATTTAGTGCAGAAGAGTCCTGCATCAATAGTAGGTAGTAATTCATCCTGTAGTAACTGATGGGCTGTGATGTCTAAGAAGTCTGAAAAGCAAACCGCAAAAGGGTAAAACTATTT